CAACCGTTTTAATGTTATTAAATGAATCTTAGATGCATAATGTCGGAAGTTTAGATACGATGAATATTTTAAATCACTGTTTGGACCATAAAGGCGTGACTCCTTTTACGTAACCTCGGTGAGAATATTTTTTTTAAGGATAAGGGCCAAACTTACAATCCACCAAATGAAAATTACAGCAATGTCGACGCAGAGAGAAGGAAGTGAAAATAAAACCTTTAGGTTCTAATGATTTTAGAAAAGCTGTTAGAACCGACATTATGCACGGAATTATCTTGGCCCAGAAAAGGGATAGAAATACAGCTCTTAGTGCTATGGAAAGAGAAAGAAACGCTTTTCTTTATTATTCAATAAAAAAAATTTGCCCGACCTGTACATCCGCCCATATGCTTCTAGGCTCTAGCTTTATGGAATAACAATCTGTAAATTTTATGCGGCGGCAATCGTGGCCCAAATGTTTTCTGTAGTAAAAGAAGCGCGTCGTCCCAATTAGCCACTGATCCTTCACGCCTTGCCGCCATGTAGCGGCGAAACCTACGAGGAGCATCGGCAATCCTCTCAATGTTATATTCTCACAAGTACTAACACATTCTTTGTATACTTTTATTGTTTCAATAAACGCGATTACATCGCTTCCCGCAACGCCGTCGAAACGCGACGTGCATTTCGAAAAGTTTCCTTTCTTGTTGGCAAGCGCATTCGAACCACAGCTTACTGATTGTAACAAATATGCAAATTGCTCGTTCGTTAGAGTTATCGATGCCGTTGAATGTCTCGATGAACAGGGCTCTTCGGCCTCCAACGCCGCCGCGTAGTGCAGTTGACCATTTTGTTCATCGACATCTTGCATGGAAAACGGCGATGCGGGCGGCACGAGTGACTTTTGTGTCTGTACTGTGTTGTTGTTGTGTTGCATAACCATTTGCCCGTGTATTCACCATTTTATTTTAATCACGATGGGCTCCAGTTTAGTAAATAAGACGGCAAACAGTTTAATGACACTCGAATTTAATGATAGCAAACTCAACAATATAAATAAAAAATGTGTGCGTGTACTAGTGTACACACGTAAGAAGTGAAACTTCTTTATGGCCTTATTTTTTTCGAAAAATGATCTACATGCAACTTTCCAGAAATATATATATAGGCGTGCGCTAAGATTTTTCAAAAACTCACCCACAAAAGGGGTATAACTACACCTTACCTTACCTTACCTTACCTTACCTTACCATTATATTATTAAATAATAAATAATAATACCTTACCTTACCTTACCTTACCTTACCTTACCTTACCTTACCTTACCTTACCTTACCTTACCTTACCTTACCTTGTGTGAAACACGAATATTTGCTGTCGATACTTTTTTTTTTAAAGTTGACAGAAGAAGCAATTGTTCGGATGAGGTAAATAGTGCTCTTTTAAAAAAAAGATGGCGCGTAACCAAAAAACGTGACGCGTAACCGAATAAAAATGTGACGGTAAATTTTTTTCCAATGCCGATAAAGAAGTTTCACTTCAAAAAAAATATTTTTGTACGTAGGTGAGAGCGGGTAAGGGTAACAGTGGATCACTTTTTTTAAGCTCCACAAATCCCAACTTTATGCCTAAAATTAATCTAAGATAATTAACCACAAGATACGTCCGATATCTTATGAACTGCATAATTAGCCTCACTGGTTTTGCAGAATCAGGGTTTTTTATACTCTTGACACATTATCGATATAACGTTGTATATGGAATAGCAGTCGATTTAGCAACAGATCTTATTGTTCGGCTATTAGATATAAGTTTTAAGGCGTTACTCATCTGTTCTTCAGTAAGACCAATGGTTTTTCGTACCCGATTGCGACCATTTTAATTTCATATTTTTTTAAATCATACGTGGGCGTATAGGAATAAACCTAATGTTTACAATAATAAAAGAATATTTCGCGATTTTTTTTATATAATTGTCATTTAATCACTAAAGAAATTTGCCCTAAATAAAACTCTAAAAATACTGTATAGTGTAAGTATTTTATTAAAAGAAAATATCATAAAATCAAGCATGTTTCTCATTATAACATTTTAAACAGAATGCTTTTCACACCTTTTGCACTCAGTATGTACTTGCTTCGCTTTTCTTGCCAATAATCCTTCGTTTTTCACTTTGATATTTTCACTGAATTTGACTTTCTATGGTTGATGCTGCAGGTCCAAGGAAATGTCAGACTAGATGTTCTTGGACTTGTAAAACTGACAACTTAGGGCCGTCTGCCAACTTGTTGTAGATGCTTCTGGCATTGATAATGGCGACTTGACATAGCAAATTGCTATATTTTGCTATATTTTTGTGCCACGTTAAAATTTTACGTAACGGCGAATGAAAGGAAGCAAGAATAAAATAATAATGTCTTTTTTGGCATCATTATAATCGATGATTGCATCAGGTTTTATAATGTCGCCGCGATAGGTAGTAGTGACGTTAGACATACCGTCTCCATGGCAGGTTGAGATCATAACGACGTCGCGTTTATCATGCTATTTTAGTACAGTGTAGAGGTTGTCCTTTTGTCTAGCTATTTCTTCTCCCTTTCTTAGCTTCGCTTTTACTACTTCTTCTAGCATTTTTTTCCTATTTCTACGTAAAGTGCCGCATAAATCAGTATTGCGACATTTCAGATACTCAGCCAATGGCAAAATGGTATAATAGTTGTCTGTGACGATAATACGATCTGCATCTAAAGGAGACTGTGAGCTGTACCATTGATGAACCAGGTTTATCAAGACCCTCTAATTGATGCGAAATCCCGGAATAAATTTGGTGGGACCATGTGTAGCTATTTATTATGCAGGTCCTATATATTTTCATACTGTAACGATCTGATTTAGCTGGGTTATGAGTTCTTATTGGCAACCTTCCATGAAATTAGACTAACTCATCAACGACCATAATATCGGAAGGTACGAGTATATAAAGACTTCGATTGTTTACCATTTTATGTATAAGTGGGTCTATTTTATGAGTTCTTTGTTCTCCAATGACATCTATTTGAATTCCTGTAAGTCTGCGGGCACGAAAATGGCGACGACCGAGCGATGGCGACCATAGAGCGGGGCGAAGAGGAGTAGTATGTCGCGTGGGCACGATACTATCGGTCAGTCAGTCGCGCTAGAGTAGTGTTGTGATCAACATGTCACGTCATCGTATTATAAGTTTACGGCGAAGAGAACTATTGGAGCCAAGTTTACTAATGAGAACGGAGTTTTTATTACATAGAGATGGTGTTCATCCAATAAATGAAGGAAAAGTAATTTGGGCGAATTTTCTACCCTTTATTACGAGCTAAGGTGCCATCCATCAAAATTTTACAACTATAGAAGAATGAGTTTACACACATTTGATTACATTTTAGAGAAAATAAGAAGCAATTTGGAACCTGTTATTTTTGGAAATCATATTATTACGCCTAAAGAAAAAATGTTGTTAACACTAAAATAAGTCGGTAAATAAAAGTTAACTCTATATTGATAACTCACTTTTATTACTTCAAATATAATAAGTAATCAATCAAGGTCAATCCAGTATTCAGGTGACTGTGTTATATGGCCGGTTTACACGAACTTAGTAGCAATGCGCTTAGTGCTTGTCACATTCTAAGCCTCAATACGACAAGTGAAAAGTAACCGTTTACATATTGGAGCCAGTAGAAGTTATTAGTAACCAGACATTTGAAATGGAACGACGCCGCCTGATTTTGCGCAGTGTGTTTAAGCAATATAGACCGGGCGCTAGAGGTAAGTGAGTATGCAAAATGTGAGTACCGAATTCCGCCAATGGATTTAAGTGAAGAAAAGGCCAAAGAATAATAATGTGAATCTTGCCGGTCCATTTTTTGGTCCATTTCGTTTTTACCCCCTCTCCTCTTATTCGTAAAGGGAATGTATTGAGTACAAGATATAAAATCATTTTAATGATTATTTCCGTAATAACTTATAGTTTATTCTAGTGGAACAAGTGAGGATAGATTCTGGAATAATAATTAAAAAAACTAAAATGAAAATATTTTTTTTTTTTTATTAATAAACAAATAAAAGTTATATATGAAAAACCAGTGAATTCAAGCATAAATGTGCTTTAAGTAGGTAAAAAATTACAATTTTTTATTTTGACATTTGTTATTAATGTTATTAATTTGTTATTACATCTCGGTAATCTTAAATAATCGAGGTAACAATGTTTGTGATATCTCACTTTAATAGCCAACAAATCTTCAGGCCGTTGACAAGTACTCAGTTGAGTGAAAACATGGTCTTTTATGCTACGTGCAGTACTAAAAATTTTTTCCGCTGCTGAAATTTCGGAGCATAAATGTAGCTGCTTATCTTTGTTTCTCGTTACCTTCTTACAAAATATGCACTTCAACGAGTTTTCCAACGCAGCCGGTTTCCTTGATGATGAACGAGATTTTGGAGTAAGCTCCTCCACGTTTGCTGTGGAAGTTGAAGCAGACACTTCTTCTTCTTTATGCAACGCAATTTCTCGACGCCTTATCTTCTCCTCACTAATATACGTGGCTAAACAGTCTTGGTGCCATGAAAATTCTTGTTTTGTGGATTCCGGATCATATAGCTTTGAAAACTTCTCACTAATGGTGTCTTTTCGTCTATTTGCTGCTTCTTTAATATTAAGCAGCGTGCTTGACCTTGGTTTTTTCACCACATTACTTGAATTATCGCAAAACAAGCAAAATTGTTCGTTAGGTTAAAATTCTGGAATATATATTTTAGTTAAAACGTCATTACATACGTTTTCTTCAAAACGTGTAAATTTTTAGTACTTATATACCTGGATATACTTGTCCCTACCCTATGACCTTTTCTATTTATAGCCGAGACAGATGTTCTATTGTATTCAAGGCCACTTTCTCTTTTACGGGACCACTTTGTATTCGTCAAGATTATTCGTTAGTTTGAAATTGTATCTTCGCAACGACGGACGTACGGTTTTAAGAGCTATGGCTGATTTGTGTTCTATATGTGATAAGTCACTTTCAGAGGGTGTTTCTGTGAATGTTGTACGTGGTTTACAAACTTTAAAAACTGCAAGTATTGAAAGAAATGATGGACATATAGACTATTTAAATACTTTAAGTTCTGTGAATGTGCATTCCGAGTGTCGAAAAGTGTACACTAGTAAAAATGCTATTGTTGCATCGAAACGACGCACAGAAGAGGGTGAGCCTTCAACGCCAAGTGCACCTCGTAAAAAAAGAAACGAAGTGTTTGATTTTAAAAAATTGTGCTTATTTTGTGGCCAAGAAGCTAATGAAGTAGCGGAAAGGAAAAAAAGGGAGAAGTACAGACGGACAAGAAGTAATGTAAGCACTCTAGCGTTAATTAAAAGAGCAGAAGAACGCAACGATTTCTTAGGAGAATTAGTAAAGGAACGTATACTTTACGAGTATGATTTGATCGCTGCTGAAGCAAAGTATCATACTATTTGCTATACCAACTTTTTAACTCGAGTACCATCTGCTGATAAGAAGCCGCGCCAAGATGATCAAGTCACTCAAGCAATGAAGGAGATTTTTTGTTATATAGAAAATAATGAAGATTCTCAATTTACGTTGAAAGAACTTAAAGATGTCCTTACGGAGTACATACCCGACGATAAAACGATTATTACAAAACTACAACAAAAGTATTTAACTGACATAATAATTACAAAAAAAATAGGAGCATTTACAATTATATCTTTCCGTGATACACAGGTTAATGTACTATCAAAAGCTTGGTACGAAAATAAAAAAGCACCCCTGCAGAAGAACGTTTACGTATTGTAGAAGCTGCTGCGGCAATTATTAGGGAAAATATTAGATCATCTGTAGTCGAAACTAAGACGTATCCACCTCCAAATAAAATGCTAGATGGTATTAATGAAGAAATACCAAAAACATTATTACATTTTTTAGAAGAAATTATATTAAAGAATAGAAAAGGACAAGTAGATCATTTAAAAACGAAATGCACATCTATCAGTCACGCAATAATGGCTTCGATACGAGAACGATCATTTTCATCACAGCTACTATTAGGCCTTTCTGTATTTCTTCACAGAAGATATGGATCTAAGAAATTATTGGATGTTTTATCAACTTTGGGATTTGCTGCTCCATATAGTAGTGCTGTACAGTATGAAGTTTCAGCAGTTTACCATCCACAGCCTCGTATTTTACCATCAGAGTCAGGTGCATTAGTGCAATATGTTGGAGACAATGCAGATATTAATGTCAGTACTCTTGACGATAATAATACTCTTCACGTTATGGGAATGATAAAAATAGTTACTCCGAAAGATGCTGTTATTTATGATGATCGTATAAAAAAATGTACAACTACACCAAGTGCAAAAGAGTTGGCAGCAATATCACATGTATCTCTTTTAGCATATGAAAAGCCAGTTGTACCAGGGTACAGCAAGATTCAAGTCCAAAATCTACATGACGATCAAGTACTAATTGAAAAAAAATTCAATGCTGTTGATTTTTTGTGGTTATACGGAAAATGGAAGAATCTTTCACAGTTGCCAGGGTGGAATGGCTATCTTCAACAACTTACGAAAAATAATAAGAATTTTTCAACTTCTCAAGTTATATTTCTACCTTTCATTGATCATCCGGCTAGTCATTTAGATACAATTTATACCACTTTACATTGTGCTATAAATATTGCCAAGTCACATCAACAAAAGACGTGCATAATTACATTTGATCAACCCCTGTACTCCAAAGCACGTGAAATGATTGCCGCGTCAGTTGCAAACTCAGACTTGTCTAAAACAGTTGTCAAACTAGGAGGATTTCATATGCTTATGTCTTTTCTTGGATGCATAGGATATATAATGGACGGTAGTGGTCTTGAGGAAGCTTTAAGTACAATATATGCTACAAATTCGGTCGACAAAATGTTGAATGGTCACGCTTATGCAAGAAGTATCAGAGGCCATACATTATTACGACTTGCATTATCAATGAAGATTTTTGAAGAGATGAAGATTGAAGGTTGTATTTTAGATGAGTTAATTGAACAGATAACTAGTCGCGATGTTTCCTACGAAGATGTTGAAGGATGTACAAGTAGCTCCAACTCGTTAATTGATCAATTTCAGGATAAACTGAATGAATTAAAAGCTCGAGGTCCCACAGCACAGTTATGGGCGCAGTATTTTGAAATGGTATCAATAGCTCTAGATTTCATTCGTGCTGAAAGACTGGGACTTTTTAAAGAACATCTGGATGCAGTGCGGAAAATGTTGCCGTATTTTCATGCTGGTGGTCATTTCCTATATGCGAAATCAGCTCATATATATCTTCAAGATATGATAAAACTGGAGGAGACAATGGATGAACAGAGTTTTCAGAACTTTAAAAACGGATTCTTTACTGTAAAACGAACAGAAAAATTTAATTCTGGTACATGGACAGACATGGTAATCGAGCAAAGTCTTATGATATCTATGAAGACAGAAGGAGGAGTATCTCGAGGCCGAAGTACACAAGAAAGTGTTCTATGTAAGTGGTTATATGCTATGTATGCCACGAATACAATTTGTGAAGAAATTGAACGGTTTTGTAACATTTCTTTGGATTCTGTAGACCAACATGTTGATGCTAGAGATTCACGAATAAAAAGGGATAATACTGATGTTAATAAACTGGTTGATTGGTATACTCTTCATAATCCCTTTCCAAATACGAATCAGTTGGTATCCTTAGCTTCAGGAATCGTTGGAAATGACCAAATTAATTGTTATAGAGCCCATGAACTCGGATTGCAATCTATGGAAAAGATAATTGGTTTGAACTTTAATGAGATAAAGTTAAAACGCGTCGATAAGGTTTTGCCGCTTTCAGCCGTTAACAAATCTGTCAATATTAATGATTGTAAAGTCTCTGTAGATCCGTTGTTACTTTCCCAGAGAATAACTGTAAGCAAAAAATTTGAAAGTAATCTACAAGAATATCTTCAATATGAACTAAGCCCGTATCCGACATCTTTATTTGATAGTAATGGCATGAGAAAAACCACGAAAGCGACGTTATATGACAATATGATACCTGTCGATATCGAGCTTGATGAAAATAATGTAACATACATCATCGACGGTGGATTTCTTCTGCATCGCGTCGTATGGAGCAAAGACGATACTTTCTCCATTATTTTAGATAAATACATTCAATATTTACAAACACATTATGGTTCAGAAATTGTTGTTGTATTTGACGGATATTCGGACAATAGTAAAAATATTAAAGCAATGGAACAACAAAGAAGAACTGCTGCACTTTCTAAATCGTATGAAGTTTGTTTTGACGAAACAATGATTTTGCCAATCAGCCAAGAGAAATTTTTATCAAATCGGTCTAATAAAACAAAATTTATCTACATGCTTGTCGAAAAATTAAAAACTATTGATATCACAACAAAACAAGCCAGAGATGATGCTGATCTTCTCATCATCGAGACAGCTATTGCATTATCAGAACATCAAAAGACTGCCGTCATCATAGGAGAAGATATTGATTTGCTCGTTATTCTAATTGGGCGTACTCAATCACATCAACAGGAAATTTTCTTTAAAAAAGTTGGGAAAGGCAATGTTAAGACGCAAATATACTCTTCCAAAAGTTTTGATCAATATCCGCGTACTAAAAAACACATTCTATTTTTACACGCATTTAGTGGCTGTGACACGACTTCTGCGCTATTTAAAAAAGGAAAAAAACTGTTACTAAAGCATTGGAGAAAATTCCCATATAGATACATACATGGCTAATATACAGCACTAATATACAGATAAACTGGAAGTATTTCAACAAGAAAACTGCCCGGTACAAACATTATTTGAAAATGGAGTGCGCATCTTGTTGGCATTATATAATGCTCCAAAATCTGAGGACAACATTGATCATTTTCGCTACACGCAATTCATTAAATTAACGAAACTAAATAAACCTGTACAATTGTCAACACTTCCACCAACAAGTGTAGCAGCTCATCAACATATAAATCGCGTCTACTACCAGATTCAAACGTGGTTAGGGAATGACTTAGAACCTCAAGAATGGGGCTGGATGCTTGAAAATGGAATCCTGGAGCCCATAAGAACGTTATTACCTCCAGCACCAACCGAACTACTAAATATAATATTTTGCAATTGCAAAAATGGTTGTGGTTCCCGCTGTGGATGCCGAAAATCAGGGCTACTATGTTCTTTAGCTTGTGGCCAGTGCAATGGACAAGCTTGCCTGAACGCTGCACAATATCCAAGTAATCCCGATGAAGAAAACGCATACGATCCTGAAATTCTGGAGGGTTTGGAGATGAATATGACCGATAATGAGGATGATGACAATGAATTGAACGTTTTCGAGCGACAACAAGAAGAAGACGACGAAGAAGATGAAAATAACTAGCTTCTATTCACAATTTTATTATAATTAAAACCAATAAAAATTCTTATGATATTTAAACTGACATTTCAACAAATGTATAGTATGGCATATTTAATGATAAATAAAGATATGCATAAAATATATCCCCTTATTGTCTTTTTAACTGAAAATATATATTCCAGAATTAATAATATACTATAGTTGAATAGTTAAATATAAATAATTAAGTTACTGATTTTAATAAAATATCAACAATTAAAAATTAGTACATAAATAATGGCCATTGTTTAATAATTATAATAATTTAATAAATAATAGACTTGATATAACGTACTGATAACCGTAACTCACGCTTGACCTTGCATAGGACCATATATGACTGTGCGCTGTTTTTTTTAAAACGGTTGACCGTATTAAAAAAAACATGAAACGAAAATTGTAGAGAATTCTCTACAACTTTTATAATAAGTACAAATATCATTTAAGCAATAGAAAGCGAGATATTCACGAAAAACCCATTTTTATGACCTTTGACCTTCAATATCTTAAGACGCGGACACGGTATCATTTGTGATTTTTGAGACAACATTTAGAACGACAAAACAAAGGTCTATACCAATTTGTAGCTTATTATCTTTCATTCCGAGGTTGACCCCTTTTTTTACCTAATATGACTGGGCTACTATGCTTACTGTATGGGCGAAGAGGGGATGTGAAGGGTGCGGAAAGGGACCACCGCACCCGGCGGCAAGATGTGTTTTGTCGTTATTTAGGGTCTCAGATATAAGAATCCGGTCATAGTTGCCGTCACTCACATTTTGCATACTCAACTACCTCCAGCGCCTGCACTAATATACAATTTGACGACCTCCGTGGCCGAGGGGTTTGTACGCCGGCTTTCATGGTGCCGCCGGAATCTGTCTTTTTTTTTTGGTTAGGGATGTACCAGCTTCTTGTTATTTTTTTAGTTCTCCTATCGCACGAAATATTCCTTTCCGCTGTGAAACATTTTTACTGGAGGTACTTTGATTTTGTTCTCCCCTTGGTTCCGAATAGATTCATCTTCCGAAGTGGAAGCCATAGAGATAGATATCTTGCTCGCTACTTGTAGGATTATGTTGCTCGCTGCTTGTAGTTCCGTTATCCTGAAAAATAAAATTGCATTTCAGGTTCCTGCTTCAGAGGATGATAGGAAGAAAAAAGAAAGAGGTTTCAATACACGTTGAAACTTTCCAGGGCCTCATGGTGCTATAGATGGCAAGCATATATGTATTCAAGCACCTCCTGACTGTGGCAGTGATTATTTTAATTATAAAGGAAGCAACAGCATCGTACTATTGGCCGTCGTACATGATGATTACTGTTTATATATACTAATATTGGCGCAATCGGCCGGTGCTCAGATGGTGTTGTTTTTCAGAACTGTTCGATTTTTCGTGATCTCGAAAACAATATGCTGCTAAAGAATGAATTTTTTTGATTGGTGGAGATGACGCATTTCCCTTGAAATCATATTTATTGAAATCTTACAAGCATAGTCCTTTGACCTACGAACAAAAAAATTTTAATTATAGATTGTCAAAGACCCGAAGAATCGTCGAGAATGCTTTTGGCATCTTAGCCAGTCGCTTTAGAATTTTTAGAACGTCTATATCTACGAATCTCACAATTGCTGATCGCATTGTTCGTACCACAAACACTATAGATAACTGGCTCAGAAAAACTTCAAGGACATACCTAATCACGAGATGTGTTGACTATGAAAATTTAGTAACTGGGGAAATTATTCCAGGATTATGGAGGGACGCCGAAAAATGTTCAGCCAGTGGGTAGTAATCACTCGTCAAGAATGGCCCGATAATTTAGAGAAAGATATACGAATTACTTCGTAAACGAAGGTGCCGTATTATGGCAATCTAGAATGATTCATTAGTTTAAAGGAAATATAATACCTACCTACTTCGAAATAAATCTAATACCTACCCTATGAAAAATGTTGTTTTATTGCTTATATTTTCTATAGTTGTGCGCCTTTCGTCTATATCTTTCAACAAACTATCTATTTCTTTGTACCAATGCAGATTTGGCACATAGACAGTATCAGTCCCACTTCCTGATCACATTGAATTTTGATTTTTTTTCTTTTCCTGGTAATAAGTTGACGAAGTGTTCTCATTTTCTTTTTCGCCTCAGGCACTCCGAAACCAGCAATATTCATCTCTTCAATGATTTTCTGATAATCGATTTTCTGATAATCATTGAAGAGATGAATATTGCTGGTTTCGGAGTGCCTGAGGCGAAAAAGAAAATGAGAACACTTCGTCAAGCAGCATCTTTTGCAGGTTTATTTTTATATAAAACCGATTTCTGGTTCCATAAACATTCATGGGATTTAAATTCTTGAATTAACTTTATTGTTGATGGCGAATGCCAGCACATCCGCCGGCAAATAAGTGTATGACGGTGATACCTGCTAAATTAGTTTTGTTTATTCGATCGTAAAAGGCTGATGATATCTGATTAGCTGTTTTACCAAATTCGTTTTCAGTCCAGGTGTAGGCGGAGGTTGTAACCTTGTTAAGTTTGTCTTTAGAGATTCCTTGTACAATGGTAAAATTATATAGGTAAAATTGTCGACTATAAAAAGCGCTCTGGTCAGGAATTCGAGGTAGTGGACTGTTTTCCTGACAGTCAAAGGAAAATGTTATCATGTCGTCTTTTTTTCCTGCATCATTTTGAAGAACGCCTTTGCTCGTAGTTTATGCACTCTCAGTGACGTCATGAGTGTATTTTTCTTGGCTGGATCGTTTTCTGCTTTGATTTTCTCGTTTAATTCTATACAAGTTGAGCAGACGTCAGTCTTAGGGTTACCGAAACCCAAATTAAACTCTTTATTAAAAATATGGCGAAAGTATGATTGTTTTACAGGAGACTGAGGATTTTCATCTTTAAACATGTTGTACAGCTTGTTAATATTCAAGTCACTAGATAAATATTTGCATTCTTGAGTAGCCGAGCGACAATAATGCGACTCTATACATTTTAGTTTCATATTGACGAATGGATTTCTTCTGATCTTTATATTTATTTATCTTGCGGTTACCCCCCGTCGTTCCTTGGCAATCTCTCCTGTGTAAAATAAAATTTTCAAAACATATTCCACACGATATTTCGTAATGCCAAGTATTTTCAAAAATGCTTTGTGACAAACAGGAACAAACTCATGGTGTTCTCTTATAATATGATACTTGATATTAAAGTCTCTATACCCCATCTTTCATTTTTGGTAGGACGCCTTCTTTTTACCCTCTTGACTTTACAACACTTCAGTATCAAAGCATCTTGTACGCTCTTTTCACTTGTGGAATAAAAAGAGCGATGGAATTTCATAATGTCAGGCATTGTCAAAGTAGAACATTTTAGTTTTGTACTTTAATGTGTACAGATTATTCGTTGTGGTGCTTCCTTTGGCATGTACCTGCAAAACAAAAATTACATGACTGTAGTAGTATTAGAGAGCTTGAGCATCATGAACTATTTTAAAAGCGCGGAAAAGTATACCTTCCTATATACATACACGACTTTATTTCGTTTAATAAAGTAGTGTATATTATAATATTGGAATAGTATCGAATCAGTCACATCAGTAACCTCATTTTCTTAGCTATGTTAGCCTTTCATTTCTCGGGGTTTTTTGTCCTTTTGCGAGTTTTGCCCGCACTTGCTGGTGTTACTGGGACCTCCATGGGTATCCAAACTCGTGTTTTAATACAAAATTAATCACATTATTTCACTAAAACCACAAGATATTAGCCAAAAACTGGACTTAATGTGCACCCTAAATGTATAGCGGTGGCCATAATGAATCTTATAAATCCTGTTCTTACTAGTTGAAACGTAGCTGTTTTTTAATGCCAACGTCAGTTTTAGAATTGAATTTATAGGGAGTTTAGTTGCATTTGTTATTAAAATGGAGATATCAAAGCGTGCGTAACTAACTAAAGCAGATGGTGCCATAGCTAATTCATTTCACAACTGTATGGCGCTTACCTGCCTTTGATTTTATAAGTCTCAATTATTGGAATGATAGTAACAAATAATCTAAATTATTTACTTCCCATGAAATAAAAGAAAGAACAGAAAACAACCTAATTTTTATGGAAATCTTTAAAGCAATTTTGGCACTGACTTTTCGACCTACGAGTACTTTTACAATTTTTTTATTGACAAAATCTTGATGATTTTATATCGTCAAATACGGACAAATAGTCATAACCCGCACGCCTTATAGTTTCTGACGGTTTCGAAGTTTTTTAAAACTTTCTTGGTACTTCAGGTTCAAATGTTTCAGAAGACTCCCGACGCTTCTCCAGTGTGTTCAGTAATGATATCAGCAATTTTAAAAATGAAAATCATGATACAGACAACTGCCTGGTGTACTCTTTTGGACAAATTTAACACTACTGAAGGCCAAAGGCTAAGATAATTGTTCCTTAACAATGTTTTTGCTCCTTAATAAATATCAAAATCCAACATGAGCCCATCATTCGTATTCAAACATAATTTTCTGAGTCCAACAGGACGAGGTTTGTTTTTTATCACTTGACGCAATGGGCAACGACCGGTAAAAGGAATCATTTGTTCGTCAACTCATTAGTATCCTGGAAGCATCTCTTGCATGTAGCAGTCATTACGTACCTGATAATTAGAACTTTCTTGCATCAGAAAGAGAATTTTAAGAATTGAAGTTTAGTTCAAGTATATAGTCACAATTACTCTCCCAAATAATACCGGAAACTTGTGATGCTATCTACAAAGTGCTTAGTGACATTAAGGTATGCGTATTTCTTTTATTTTTATCTCTAAACGAAACCTTACAGGATAATTTCGTCCATGAGACGGTACCCATTCTGAAGGGCCTATTCTACTTTCTAACTAGTAGAATATATTTAGTATATTTTTGGACTAGGAAATATAATAAAACAAAGGTACAGGATGAAATAGTCTATATTTTCTAGGGC